AGTACTATCTGTTTTGCACACCCCTACTGGATAGGAATTGGTTGGGAATCAAGTTTTAGTGTTGGTTCTGAATCAGGAGTGTAAAATAGGTGTGCTTCATGCTACAGCCCAAAAAATCTTTCAACTTGGGGAGAAGCAGCATGCATACATCCAAAATGTAAGACACTACAGAGTTTGAAATGGATTCATTGAAAGAGAAAGAGTTTCAGGAGTGTCTTACATGAAATGTATGAGGCCCTAGTTTGAGTCACCTAAGATTTCTGATAGTTAACAGTAGTCCATTTGGGCAGGTTCTGAATTCTTGATGCATTGTGAGTATATGTGTTGGAAGAGACCAGAATCTGGAAAGCTAGCCTTTTTTCATCCTCTTCCCATCCCAGCCCCTTGCTTCCCACAAACCGTAATGAGTTGACCGTCACAATTAAAGTGTCACAGGTACCATATCCATTTTCCGGAAGGGTAAATTGACCAAGTCACTTCCCTATAAACTATGGTGTCACAGCAGTTTTGTGACAGTGAAGGATAAATCAAATGCTCCTGGCTCTCAATTGCAAGCTCAACTGGAGCCACTAGTATCCTTCTTGTGGGCCTTTGAGTAAGCAACATCAGGCTACTTGGAGGCAGCAGTACAAAACTAGCATGAAAGGACAACTTTAAGATGTCTCCATGTAGATGTGTAATGTCTTACCAAGCAGTGGTAAACAACTTCATGCTGCATATGCTGCTGCTTGTTAGTGTTTCATGCTGTAGTTAATATGCAGCTCTAATTCTGTTTCATGTCATAGTGTAGGGGTGGCTGACCTGTGGCATGGGTGTCAGAAGTGGCACCGGTAGCCATAGTGTGTAGCATGTGGGAGACTGGAGAGGGGACAGGCAACAATGACAGATAAGGCAGGTCAGGAAGGGAGCAGAGAGCCAAGCAGCAGATTGGGTAAGGGAAAGGAATTAGAGTGGCACTCGGGGATGGTGTGGAGCTGATTTGTGACATCCCTGCCAAAAAGCTTGGCCCCAGTTGACGTAATGAGTGGTTTCTAATTCTTCATAGGAAGAATAACACAGATGCAGCTTGTGAATTTAAAATTTTCAGAATTCTTACTGCCATTCAATTGCACGAATTTGTGTCTGATGTGTGTGCACATAGCCAGAAAGGCTTTCCCATTCTTTAAGTGATTATTTGGAGATTTCACTGTGTTTTTATGCTTTCACATAAAAATTAAATAATTGATAAAAGAATGTGAAAGTGCTTTCTAGCCCTTTTGGCTACCCTTTTTTCCCCCTTAATATTACATATTTGGATTGTGGAAATGGTGAAATATTCTTTTTTTATGTTGGCGGTCTTGCTAGGTGTAGGCCTCCCTTTATTGGATACCATAACTTTTGACCTCATTTCCATTTACCTCCATGTCCAATTCAGTCTCATTTCAAGGCTACTCTAAATCTTAAGAATCCTACTGCAAGAAAGGACTTCAGTATAACTTCCTGAAGTATTGGCTCTGTTGTAATTAGTAGCATTGCAGTAAGGGAAAAATGAATGTACAGCTTGGGTATGGAGAAAGTGAAGTTTTAATTAGCATATAAAGAGTTATAAATGCCTCAGACTTTATTTGAAGGCATCTGTTCTAAATTATATGTCTATTTTTTCCTCTTTAGAATATCGCATCACAGTCTTGTAGCCAGATTATTGGCTTGCCACAAAAACAGTAAGTCAGGCAGCCTTCAGTAATGACTTCTCTAACACATTTACTTTCAATATTTATGCTTTTATCCAAAGCTTTCCTCCCTTTTAACTTCGGGGAAATGACTGAGCCAGATGAATATTTGTTCCCCATTAGCCTACAGAATTAAAAGCTGTTATCCAGTATACATGACTATGGAAACTGTGTTTTACCAGATCATTACAAAAAGTGTTTTCTGATTTTTATATATTTTATTCATTGTGCAAAGCTGCAGTTTTAATAACCTTTGGGAATTATTTTGGGGAGAGTGCGTATCTTGTGTCTATGGTGTGTGAGAGGAGGTGGAGCAGAAATTCTTGCGGACCTTTTGGAAAACTCGGGAGCTGGTTTCAGGGGCCCAGGAAGCCCCTTCTAGCGCCATGTGCCTAAGGCAGCATTAAATGATGTGGCTCTGGGAACAATTAATGCTGCTACAGCTCCTCTCTAGCAAATTTCCAGAGCAGGTAGGAAGCCCACAGGCTGGATGACAGCTTTATGGACCAGAGGTTGAACACCACTACTCTAAAGTGTTTCTTAAAAAAAAAAAAAAAAAAGTATAATGCTTTGATATCTATTGTGAAGTAAGTTAGCTTTTCAAACAGTGTAAATGATCTGTTCTAGGCCTTTTACGATAGATAGCATAGGAAACTACAATCAACAGTCTACCCAAGAACTAGTTGACAAGAACCAGGTAAACTCTTGATTTTTCTCTCTCAAAATTGTTCTTTACAACCAACTAGTTTTTTACAGCACATAAAAACCATTGCATCATGGCTGGGTCTACATTACCAAACTTTAGAATTCAGATTCATTGCTGGTATAGCTGTACCAGTGTAGAATTATCTACATGAGGTTTGCTGTTGTAGATCAAGGTTAAACTTTAAGGGCATGAAAGACTACCCATTAAAATCCTTAAATGTAAAAGGGACGGTAGTTGTTACAGTGTTTACAAAAACAGTCACCCTGGTTTTCAATTAGATATACTGCCCCTGTATTGTAATTCCACACTGTGATCCTGATGATGCTTGAAAAGATTCCTGTAGTTTTAAACATGTCTGCTAAAACCTTGTTGGCATTTGTGGTTTTGTTTGTTTAAACCTGTATTCCATTTTAGGTAAAAGAGATGCTTGTTTTTCTAGTACATTCTTAGCAGTAATTTTTACAGTACAATACTAAAGCTAGCAAATATTAACAAAACGAATATAATAATATGAAAGTTGAGGCATTGATTTCTTTCACTTTATATTTTTCCAAAACAATCCGGGGCCTTTAAGGGACACTATCATGTTAAAAAATACTGATCTGGTATTACTTATCTGGTACCAGAAGTACTTATCTGGTATTACTTGTAACATTTTTAGTGTTTTCCTTTAAATTTTAAGGAAAAATTATTATTTTGCTTACTTCATTCATACATGTTCAGCTCTGACATTTCTGTTTCTCTTCTCTGTTAGTCACCTTCCCTGTTGTGCTTTTGTTTCTGGCCCTTTCATATAACATGGCAGAGAGGATTATGTTAAAATAATAGCAGCATTGGATTAATTCATTTAACTCCCTTTTTTTTTATAAAATTGAGTATCTTAAATTGATCAACACCTTAGCAGTTTTGAGACAGCTTCCATTTAAATCATTTTTTCTAAACGATCCCAGATGAAATTCCCTTTTTCTATTTATTTTAGAAATCAAATAATAAGCTTAAAAGCTCATTGGCCCCTGTAGTATAGTATGTTTGCTGTTTGAAGCTAAACTGTAAGGGATCCACTATTTTTGGATGCTCAGTTGGAGATTCCTAGAGCCAAACTTCTTACATAAGCTGGACATCTGTGGCTTTTGCTGACTTCATCTGGAAACATAAGGATTGAACACTAACAAAAATCAGGCTTTAGATGTTTCAGTAGGGACAACCAAAATTGCCATTCCAAAAATTACTGGACATTTAATATTTTGATCTTGATTTTTGGTTGATATGCAAATAAGTAAATATGTATAGCACATCTAAGGTAAATTTAATATATAAAATCGTATTTGACAAAAAAAATCTAGAGGTGCACTGATACATCAGTTGCCTATTGGATCAGCACCAATAGAAGGGAAATGACATTATCAGCTATCGGCTCTTTTTTGGCTGTTGTAGCTGATAATTTCATAGATGTTTCATAGACATTAGGGGCTGGAAGGAACCTCAAGATCATCGGATCCAGGCCCCCCCCGCCATAATGTTTACTGATAATTATTAGGGGTGCATCGATAGAGGTTTTGGGGGCCAATACTGATAGCCAATATTTAAGGAGGCATATCTACCAATACCAATCTGATATCCTATACAGCTTCCATCAGCTGGTAAGTCCAGTGTGGTGAAAAGGAAGGGGGAGATCAACACCCTCCTCATGGTGAGGGAAGGGGCAGGGGCAGACACTGCGCATCTGGGGTGAGTGGAGGGGCACGGGACAGAGGTGTGGCTCCTGCCACTGCTTGCACCCTGGGAGGGCAGGGGCAGGGGGGCATATGCCCCCGGAATCTGCATGGCACGGGGCAGGTGGCAGCTGTGGGGTGGAGCCAACGCTGCATGGGGCTCTTCTCAGTGTGGGGGCTGGGCTTGGAGCGGGCTCCGGTGGCACTGGGAGAAAGCTATCGCCACCCCAGATTTTTTGCAGCTGCGCTCCCAGCCCCATGCCGCCACCCGGCACAGCCACGGCTTTTCCTGGAGCTTGGGTGGAGGCAAGGCGTTCAGCCAGGGCTGTGCCGGACAGCGGCGTGGGACTAGGAGCAGAGCTGTGGTGAAATTTGGGGTGGCTGCAGCCCACCTCATGCCACACAGATGCGGGGGCACACACCCCCCCAGCCTCACCCTCCCAGGGTGCAAGCAGTGGCAGG